CAGATGAATAAGTAAGAAAGTCAGTGTTAGGGTATGACTTTAGCATAAAGAAAAAGTCCCCCAGCTGCTGTGCTCCTACGTGCTTACATGTGGTTCCAACTTTCAGTGTACAAACTCTCAGTGTTGAACATTAAACATCAATGCAGTGATGTCTTTGTTCTTCTGGTATGTATCTTGCTTTCATAATATCAATCTTGGCTTTGAGCAGATGTAGGATGAAAATACCAAAGTAAATGAAATTACACAAAAATGCAATTGTAGGCCTGAATGTTTTAACCTCATATCTAAACAAACAAATATGCACTTGAGACCAAAGCCAGCCTTTCTATTCTGGGTCCTGCCAAGTTTCTCAGTCTCTAGCATAGGGCCAAATTCAAGGTATTTTTTCCCTTCCAAAACTGGCATATCTCTGCTTATAGATTCAGGATATTTAGGTCACATAAACGTTTTATGGAAGGACCTGCAATCTCAGTAAAAATGTTACACTTACTATTGCTTAGTGAGTTTTGATTTTGCATGTAAATTCTTTGGGATGGATAATCGTTGGAATCACCAACTCTCTTTGATCTCAGATGAAACCTGTTTATATTTAGTGTTCTGTGTGGTCCACCCTTTCAACGACAAGAATGTATATTTGATAAGAAAGTTGGACTTCATTACTTGTGTAACGAAGTAAACCCACAGGCATCTGCTAGCTGAATTAGGTGTACAAAAAAACCAGATCATTTTTTTTCATTTTATTGGATATTTTCTTTATTTACATTTCAAATGTTATCCCTTTTCTTGGTTTCCCCACCAGAAACCCTCTGTCCTGTTCTTCCTCTCCCTGCTTCTGTGAGGATATTCCCCCACCCACTCACTCCTACCTCCCCACCCTTGTATTCCTCTACACTTGGGGATCAAGCCTTCACAGGACCAAGGGTCTCTCCTTCCATTGATGCCCGTATAGAATCACCAAACACAGACACTATTGTGAATGCCAAGAGAAAAACAGATCCTTAAAGTGACTTTTCCACAGTAGGGCCCAGAGTTCTTGTCTCCTTTGTCTTGTAGCCCTCCAATCTCCTGGAAAAAAAGTCAATTGCCCTGGGATAGCAATGTCATGAATTCCAGTGAAAGTTAGCCTTCAGTAGAATGTCTGATGGACTGATTTCTGTCACTCCAGCGTATGTAAACAGGTGCTTTGCAAAGAAGTTGACAGAAAACAGTGGACTGCTGTCCATAGTGTAACTTTTCAAGGATCCCTAGTCAACTAAACACAACGTTGTATTAAAATGTGAATGTGTACATACTGCTCTGTAGTATGAAAGGTCTTGGGTAGAGCCAAGGGACTAAAGTAAACAAGATTGGAGATGAGTTTTAATATTGCAGTCAAATGGTTCTTTTGAAAAATATTTATTTCTGTTTTTCAATCGACATTCAAAGTATTAGGTATTAGTATGTCACTTTCAAGCAGAATGTTTTGGTTGATTCTCCCCACTTCATCTCTTGCATCGTCCTTTCCCCCTTGCACCTCACTCCTCACTACCATGACCAAGACAACTATAAAACAAAGAGTTTATTGGAAGCTTACAGTTTCATAATGTTAAAGTCCATGATCAACATTGCTAGCAAAATATTTTTGTACACTGTGTAAAGTTTACCCTTGTATTATTTTGAACACTGATTTCTCTATCTCACTATGTGGTTTCAATGTGAACATGGCTTAGTTGTATTTATTCTTAGAAGCTCCTGTCTCCAGATTTAAACAGTCTTCCACATCCATTATCTGCCTTGCCAATAAAAGCCAATGAGCTAATACAGAGCTTTAGAGAGAATGAGGTGGGACTTCCAATTCTAGGAGGGGGTGGAGAAAGAGACAGGGAGGAACTGTGGGGAGACATGAAGAGAGGTCACCATCAGGAGAAGAAAGCTGAAACAAGAAAGGATGAAAAGACATCCAAGTAATGTGGAGATATTGTCTGGGAGGGATTCAAACCAGCCTGGAGGTTTAGAATGGAGTAATTGCTCAGTATTTGGCTCAAGGCAATTTTAATATATCTTAGTCTTGCTGTGTGGTTGTTGGGGACTAGCAAAGGTAACGAAATACAGCTGCTGGATTGATTAATTAATTATTTATATTAAAATAATTCATTCAGTACACCATAGTGGAGAAGATGAGAGCAGGCCAGCAGTCATGAGTAATAGAAGAGAGCTTGTATCTCAGCCAGAGCTACATGCCTATACTAGATCTCTGCTGTATGCCTGGTAATAGATTATTTGGTTCTATATTTTGTACCTTCTGTGACAGAAGCTCAGTAGCTCCAGATATAGATTGTTCCATAGTTGGGACAGGCTATTATTTTTTGGTACATTGTCTCAGTCTTTCCTATGTGTCTGTATCACACAGACTAAAGAGTGTTACAACTCCATTTCCAAGATTTCATCACGACTACGAACCCAGGTGTGAGATAAATTCTACCAACATGATTTCTTGAATTCAGTTTTGAAAAATGAAATAAGGAGGCAGCCTGGTGTAATTGTTAGTCAGGTGGGATTTGATATATCAGTGGCAGATTTCATCTTTCACTTTTAAGTGTCAGAATTAATATGCATGGTCATCATTATGGGTTATTAGCTCAACTCTAATCATGGAATTACTGATTTGGATGTTAGCACTACAGATTGGTGGTATTCACAGACTGTTGCACAGTGAATGAATGGCTATGGTGTTGGGCTAATTTCATAGTGATGGATTTTGGACTGTGCCTTCCTTAGTGGGATCTGTTCAGAACCATTCTGGAAACACCTAATAAACCAGCCTAGTGCCTTGTCTTTCATTCTTCCCACAACATTATGATTGCAATACTTAATTCATCTGCTAACTCTCCTTTGATAACTCTACTTTTCTTTAACAAAGAGACTGAGATTCCAGGAAATAACTTATACATAAGCATATAGTTACCTGCAGCCATGTCACTTGGAACTGACCTGATTTCATCAGAAACACACAACTCATTGCCAGTGGTGTGGCAGAGGTGAAACCCTGGTATAGTAATACCCAACTGTATATATATTTTTATTTATTTACATTTTAAATGTTGTCCTCCTTCCAGGTTCCCCCTCCACAACTCCCCCACCCTATCCCTCCTCCCCTTGCCTCTAGAGGGTACTCCCTCACCCACCCAGCCACTCCCACCTCACTCTTCTAGTACCTCCCTTCTCTAGGGCAACAAGCCTCTACAGGACCAAGCAAACCACCTCTCACTGAGAGCAGACGAGGCAGTCCTCTGCTACATATGTAGCTGGGGCCATGGACCAGCCCATGTATGCTCTTTGGTTGGTGGCTTAGTCCCTGGGAGCTCTGAGGGATCTGGTTAGTTGACACTGTTGTTCTTCCTATAGGATTGCAACCCCCTTCAGCTCCTTCAGTCCTTTCCCCAACTCTTCCATTGGGGTCCGAGACCTCAGTCCAATGATTGGGTGTTAGTATCTGCATCTGTCTTAGTTAGCTGACGGTAGAGCCTCTCAGAGAACAGCCATACCAGGCTCCTGTCTGCAAGCAAATCTTGGCATAAGCAATTTTCATATTAGTGTATTTCTAGGAAAGATAGAATTAATTTAAGATTTCCTGAATAACTTATGAATGGTGTTTGTGTGTGTGAGTTTGTGCACCGGCTTGTTGTTAGACTACTCATATGTACAGGAGACTAGGATAAAGTGGATTTGACTTTTATCAAGGCGTGTTGCTGTCTAATACTTTGATATATTACACACTAACAGGCTTAATTTCTCCACTAACATCTGCTGTTTCCCTTAACATAAAAATTACATGTTTGTGAAACTATTATATTTATTAACAGTTTTTATTCTATTTTAAAAAGTTTTTAAAAGTAATTTTAGCATACAAATAATAAGTTTCATTATGGCATCACCACACATATTATTATTCTGTTATTTCATACATATTAAGATGTTATTGTATCTTAATCATATTTGTAACACTCCTACTCCTATTCCCTGACCTTAGTCCCACTTATTCTTTCCTTTCACATGTGTGTATGTATGTACATATAAATTTCATGAAATACATAACACACACATATATAAATTTACCTTTCATATATGAGAGGAATTGCTTAGGAATTGCTTTTTCTTTGCCATTACTCCTTATTGCTTCTCTTTGCTCTCCTTCTAGGCCCATTCCTCCCTCTTAGAGTTTCCTTTTACTTTCATATCTCACAAAAAGACATGTTCATGTATATTTAGACTTCCATATAGGTCAGTTTATCAGATATAACATGGCACTTACCTTTATAAACTGATTAGTTTTACTAAACTTGATGATCTCCACTTCCACTAATTTTGCCACAAATGAGATAAATTCACTTTTTTTATGGGTGAATAAAATTCCATTATTTTATTTATTCTCCTTTGCCTGCATCTGTAGATAGGCATCTAGGCTTGCTTCATATCTTGACTATTGAAAATAATTCAGCATTATACATGAATGTACAAGTATCTCTGTTACGTTCTAACAGGATATACCCAGTAGTGATCTCACTAGGTTATATGGGAATTATATTTTTCTATTTTTAAGAAGCTCCTAACTGACTTCTATAGTGATTCTTTCAGTTTTTATTGCCACCATTTTGTAATATATAAGGTTCTTCTTTTTTCACATGCTCACTAAGGTTGGTTGGTTGCTCTCTTGTTGAAGGCTGTTCTGACTACAATGAAAAGGAATCTCAAAGTATGTTTACTTTCTGTTTTCTTCTGGTCAAATATTTATAACAGTTTTTTTCAAATGTTTATTTGACATTTGTATTTATTGTTGGAAACTTGTCAATAATTCATTTGCCCATTTACATTTTCTTTTATTGAAAACATGTTTTTTTTTTTCACTACAATATGTTCTAATTAAGGTTTTTGCTTCACCTACTCTTCCAAGTTTTTTTTCCCACCTCCTCTGCCATCCAGATACACACCATTTATGTCTCTTATTACAAAACGGACAGACACTTGTCCCTAGAATCATTACAGGTGTGTTGCTGTGTGTTATGTGTACATCAGTAGGTGGCAGAGAGGAGAGACAGATGCTATGTCTACACTCAGTGTTTTGACGTATGAACATCTGAATGGCTAGTAGCCTAACATTCCTAGAAAAGAAGTAGGCCTGGACAGAGTCCCAGGTGGGAAGCAAGACAGAGACTAGAAGAACCCCACTTGGGACTTTATGCCCAGGGCAGGAGTGAGCTTGAGGCCAACAACCCTTGAAAGGGGCTGCTTGGGCAGAGCAGGCAAGCACTAGATAGGCACCATGGGGACCAGACAGGAAGCTAGCCTGAGATAGCCACCAGTCTGGCACTGTTTAGGCCTTGGGGCACCAGACCATGACCAACACGACCCCTGCCAAGTGCCATAATGCATGGATCTGGCATAGCACTTCTGAGACCACTAGTGAGACATCTGAAGGCTATGCAGAGCTGTACTCAACCCTTGCCTGGACACTGTGGGAGATCTGACCCTGGGGGCATGAGAGCAGGAGAGCTGACGTCATCCCTAGCTAGCTGCAGTACTCAGAAAAGTAGGCCACACATTGCAGGATTTGGGGGTGAGCCGGCCCCTAGGATACAAGTGTGGGACATCCACTTGTATCTTGTGAGGTGGTGTGAATGAAGGAGAGATACCCTCCTTTTCCCTTTCCGTTCATCACCTGAGGTAGGTAGGGGAGACCTGGTCCTGGTGTCATGAGAGCAGAAGAGCTGTCCCTCCCCCTCACCATCTGCAGCACTCTAGAGAACGGGCAGCATAGCAGAGCTGGTTCTGATGTGCAGGTTTTGGTGAGCTGGCCCTGCTTCTTGTTTGTTGGATGGTGTCTCAGACAAGGGAGAGATACCTTCCTCTCCTCCTTCATTTCTTGCCATCTATAGCAAGTGGGAGAGCTGGCCCCAGGGTCATGAGAGTGGGAGAAATGGTCATGTCCCTCACGGGTTGCAAAACTCAGGAGATTGGGCCTTGTACCTTGCCTGGGAAGCAGAGTAGAGCTGGTCCTGTTTGCATGTTTGCTGGTTAGCTGGCTCTGATGGTGTTAGAGTCGGGATTCTGTGGGCTAATAAGCTCACATACTTCTCAAGCCTAAATCAAGGGCTTTGAATTGTCCCAACCTAACATCTACCCCATTAAACTGCTAGAGTACATGAAGGGACCAGTCCTACAGATCCAAAACTACACAATCTCCACAACACAGCTCAACAATAGGTTATCCAAGAGGAGCCACAGTGAGGTTCCACTATTGATAGAGTAGCAGAAGTCAGAGGCCTCGTACCAGACCAACAAGTCATTGTGAAGAACATTTACAAGCAAAGAAGTGTTTACACAGGACACACTGTGACACACTACAGGTTCCACAATTGAGATTTTGTTTTCCTCTGGTGGTGGTGGTAGTGGTGATTGCAAGTGTAAAGGGAGGGTATGAGAGGCGAGGAAGATGGATGGGATTGGGGTGCATGATGTGAAATTCACAGAAGACCAATAAAAATGTTTCTTTTTCCTTTAAAGAAAACAAGCAGGTATTGAAGTAATAAAATAAATATGAGAAATAAAAACTAAAACAATCCAAATATGATCAAACAACCAAACAACCAAAGGAAAAGTACAAGAAATGTATATAAGTGGACGGACACAAATGTTTCTATATTCAAGAATCCAATAAAAAAAAACCCAACTGGAAGCCAATTTCTGATATCAATTTCTTTCCTCAAATGTCTTAAAGTTTTGACAATAGCAATCTTTCACTTGCTTAGTAAGTGTTACCATAGAAACTTTGTTTTTCGAGGCTATTGTGAAAGGTGTTGTTTCCACAATTTCTTTATCAGTTCATTTGTCTATTATATATAGGAAGGCTACTGATTTTTGTGTGTTAATTTTGTATCCTGCTACCTTGAAACTTTTGAAAATGCTTATCAGCTGGAAGAGTTTCCTGGTGGAATTTTTAGAGTCATTTTTATATTATAATATCATCTGCAAATAATGATATTTTGACTTTTTGTTTTCAATTTTTTCCCTTAGTCTACTTTAGTTGTCTTACTGCTCTAGCTAAGACTTCACGTACTGTATTCAATTGACTTGGAAAGAGCAAACACCTTGTATTTTTCATGATTTTAGTGAAATTGCTTTGAGTTTCTCTTTACTTAATTTGATGTTGGCTATAGGCTTGACGTAAGCAGGCACTGTTATATTTAGGTATGTCCCTTGTATCTCTAATCTCTCCAGGACTTTTACCATGAAGTGGTGTTAGATTTTATGAAAGGGCTTTTCTCCGTCTAATGAGACGATTATGTGGATTAGGTCTTTTAGTCTATTTATATGGTGATTTAGATTTATTGATTTATGCGTATTGAGCCATGCCTGCATCTGATCACACTTGATCATGTTTTGGGATTCAGTTTGCAAGTATTTTATTGAGAATCTTTGCATATATATTTATGAAGCAAATTGCCCTCTAATTCTCTTTGCTGGATTTTTAATGTGGTTTAGGTGTCAGAGTAACTGTGGCTTGTTCCTTCTGTTTCCATTTTGTGGAATAATTTGATAAGTATTGGAGTTAACACTTTTTTAAAAAAAGTCTGGTAGAATTCTGCAGTAAAAGCATACAGCCTGGCAATGTTTTTGGTTGGGAGACTTTTAATGATTGCTTCTATTTCACTAGGGGGTATAGGTTTGTTTAAATTACTTATCTGATCTTGATTTAAATTTTATAAGTAGTATCTATCAAGAAAATTATCCATTTCTTTTAGATTTTCCAATTAGGTGGGCTTTTTTTTTTTTAAGTCTATTCTTTATTCTCTGGATTTCCTCATGTTATGTTCCCTTTTTTAATTTTCTTAATTTGTGTATTTTCTCTCTGCAGTTTATTTAATTTGGCTAAGGGATTGTCAATATTATTGACTTTTTCAAAGGACAAACTTTTTCTTTAATTGATTCTTTGTATTGTTTGTCATTTGTTTGCTTGTTTCTATTTTATTGACTCCAGCCCTGAGTTTGATTATTTCTTGCCATCTATTCATTTGGAGTGTTACTTCCTTTTGTTCCACAGTTTTCTTGTTTGCTCATTCATTGATTTAATTCTTTGATATTTAACATTTAAATTTTATAGAATATAAAATTTTAAATAAATAAATAATAAATAAATTTTAAATTTTATTTTAACATTTAAATTTTAGAGTCCAGCTAATAACCTTTTGTCAGCTGTACAGTTGGAATGTTTTTTCTTCTGTTCTTCAGGTTGTCTCTTCACTTTGCGGATACATACTTTGCTGTGCAGAAGCTTTTTAATTTTATTCATTCTCTAGGGCATCTTAATTTAGATTCTGTAGTGTAGATGGGGGGGGGGGGATTCTGGGAGTCTTCAACTTAAGAACTACAGTATTTCCTGTGATGTCTACTAGTTCTGACCTTGCACTAGATTGTTGTCTGGTGTCTCCTTAGTGCTTTGGCAAGGAGTTTGCAACCACTGAGACCTGTCCAGGTCATATCTGTCAGGTCTGTCCTCCAATGTTTCAAAACTTACTATGCATTAAAACATCAGATGGATGGATATTGTTATGGATGCCAAATAGTCCAGTATAGAATCAGAATTCTATCTCTACAGCAGTAAAACTCAGGAAAGACATTTACTTCCAGAGGTTAATCTACCTGCAGCCCTTATGTTCATCCTACCAAACTCCAAGTTTACTTAAGGTGATGAGGTCAGATCCTAGATCCAGAGGAAAGGCTACCTTCCTTTGGGTGTAACTGCTTGAGATAAACTTCTCCTAGGCACTTTTCAGCTTGTCAATATTCAGTTCTCAAACCCCTCACAGCTGCTACCCATGGCTGCCTCTTATACTGGATTGTGGATGTTGTTTTCAGGCTCCCTGCCTAATTATTCTTTACTGTTTGCAAGCTTTTAGTGTTAGGTACCTAGTTAGTTACTGGCTAGCTTCAAGGATATTATGACTAGACATCCTCCTTATAAGCATCAGCATGCATAACCAAGAATTAGAACTATAGAATCTATTGATAGATCAGAAAATAGCATCTGAGTCATATCTGTCCTTGGGAGGATGTATGTTATCTTCAACTGCTCAGTAGGTCACTAGTTGAAGGCTACCTAATCTGGTTCCTAAGCCAACCTTAAACAAGTCTTACAGAAAAACTATTTCACAGGATTTAGAAATATACAAAGCCAGCTGAAAATGTATATTTAATTTATCCAGTGGTTTCTCTGCCTTTTGTACACTTTCTCTTGTGAACACATTCAGTTTTTCAATGGTCTCGTTGACCTTGGTCAACTTTTATCCCTTGAGAATGCCCTGCTTCAGTCAGTAATTAACTCTGTCTTTTACACTGTACTCTGTGTAACTTGTCTAAGATCTTCGATGGATAATGGGAAGCCAAAGGAGGTCCTTATGATGCCAGGGTGGCTAGGATTTAGCCAATAGGGTCATTTTTAAGGTGGCACCTGGATATAGTGCCTTGAGCCTTGGAAAGGTACAATGTAGAATTTCTCCACTGCTGACCTCTCCCACAAGGGGAGAGTTGCTATTTTGCCAATCCCCATAGCTGGGTTTGGGACCTGTGACAGGATGAGTCTTTTGTTTTGTGGATGCAATTGCTAATCACTTTTCACCCAGGCCAAATGACCTGCCTCTTCCCATGAGGGAGTCACCTGGCTGGAACTCTCCTACCTACTTTATCATCTCTCCTTGTCCTGCCATGTTTCTCCAAAGCACAATTGACAAGTAAACACTTTCTTTCCCCATCACTCCTGTAGATCACATTAAAAAACAGCCTCACTTTCCTAAAGTTAAATATGAGACACAGGGACACTTTATTCAAAAAGAGTTGGTAGACCTGTAGGTAAGAATACACACCCTAAGATAGAAGAACATGAATTCATATAAGAAAATAAACTTTCAAAGTTCCATCAAGAAATGGTTTCACTAATAGTATTCATAGATAATTTGCTTAATCCATTTTTATCAAGTTTTTCTTACATGCATCTAGGAATCAGGTTTCTAGGCACTGTTTGGTGTGTCTTTTAATGGAAGCTATGAAGAAAATCTGGCTGACTAGACAAGAATATTTCTAGACAAACATAAGATGGTTCATATT